CCGGCTTTATAAGAGGCAGCCCTAGAGCAACCCAGGCCTAGTGCACCCCCACCCCCACCATTGCAGAATGGCTCAAGTCCGCTTCCTCCGGCCTGGTTTCCTCCTGCTGCTCCTGCAGCAAGCGGGGGCCTGCGCCTTGCAGCCGGGGCAGCGGAATGGGACGGGGGACCCCTTGCCCAAAGGCCCGCTGGGAGAGCAGCTCAGAGCGGGGGCTGGCCTGGAGGAGCGGCTTCTCCTTCCCCGCCCAGCCGCAGTGAGCTGGGCTGCTGGCTCCAGGGTGCCAGAGGGTGGGGCAGAGGAGCGGGCCCCGGGGACAGCCCCCCCTGTGGAGAGCCCCCCCCTCTGCTCCGGCAAGTGTGGCGGCGGCGGCAGGGCGGTCAAGAGCATCCTGGTCTGTGTCTTGGGCGCCCTGGTCATGCTGGGCAACGGGACGGTCATCGCGGTCATCGCCTCCTCCGTGTCCGGCTGGAGCCACAGCAGCCGGCTGGTGCTGCTCTCACTGGCTGCCGCCGACGCCGCCCTGGCCGTGCTGGTGGTGCCCCTCAACATGTACCACAGCCTGGCGCTGAGGGCCGTGGAGGAGGAGGAGGGCACCAGCTGCCGGGCGGTGGCCTTCATCAACTCCAGCGTCTTCGGGGCCTCCCTCTACTCCCTGGCAGGCGTCTCCCTGGAGCGCTACGTGGCCGTCTTCTTCCCACTGAGCTATGGGCGCCTCTTGACCCGCAGGCGGGTGGCCCTGCTCATCGCCGCCGCGTGGCTGCTGCCCGCCCTCCTGTTGGTGCCGCTGGCAGTGCCGGGCCCTGGGGCCGTGCTGCGGGTCCGCTTCTCGGTGGCGGCTCTGCTCTGCGAGCCGGACTATGCCTCCAGCCCTGCCTACTCCCTGCTGCTGGCGGGCACCATCTTCTGCCCGGCTGCGGGGGTCATTACCTTTGCCAACTTGCGCCTGTGGCTGGCAGCCCGCTCTCAGCAGCGGAGCCAGAGGGGCCTGGCCTTGGCAGGGAGAGGGGCGGCCCCTAAGAGGCTCCGCCGGCTGCGCGTGGGCCCTGCTTCCCGCATCCTGGTTCCGGTGGTCATTGCCTTCTACATCTGCTGGGGACCCTGCATGGGCACCATCCTGTACAACAGTAAGTGCCTGGTAGGGTGGTGGGAGAGCCTGCTGCCCTGGGGGGGAGAGAGAGGGGCCCAGGTCCCTTTTGGGGAGGGGGAGGGTGTCAGGCGCCTTAACCAGGTCACACCACACACAAGGCTTCTTAAGAAGATAAGTGTTTTATTGGTATTCCAGTACTAAAGAATGGGTATACAGCTTGTGTACGGAATGACCTGAAATATGGTGGCCACTGACTTATAGTGTAATCAAACTTCCCCCCCATGAGCCCAAGCCAATTAATATACTTCGCGCGCACGGGTAGCAAGAAGCAAGCAAGCGGCTAAGGGCATAAGCCGCTAACTTTCCCAGGCAAGTTAATTTGCAGCTCGAGAACGACAACAACAACAAGGTCAGGCCAGAGATAGCAGCCAGAAGCTAGACAGGGATGAGCTGGGAACGAGGAGGCGGTGCACCCCTCCACATTCCAGTTCTATGACAGGGCTACCTGACATCAGGGCCCTTTTTGGGGAGGCCTCTGCTTGCCACGCAGAAGGTCCCAGGTTCAGTTCCCGGGATCTCCAAAAGACAAGACAGTAGGTGACATGAAAGACCCTTTTCTGGCTGAGACCCGGGGAGGAGGAGGGAGGAGGGAGGAGGGAGGAGGAGGAGGAGGAGGATTTATAAAATATTGGATTTATACCCTGCCCTTCACTACCCAAAGGAGTCTCAGAGCGGCTTACAAACTCCTTTCCCTGTTTGTTGGTTTTAAATTGTCTGTAAGCCGCCCTAAGCCGCTTTGGCAGGAGGGCAGGGTAGAAATTTAATTAATAAATAAATAAACAATATTCCCCTTCCCACCACAGACACCCTGTGAGGTAGGTGGGGCTGAGAGAGCTCTTGACAGAAACAGCTCTTTTTCAAGAACAGCTCCTATCAGAGCTATGGCTTGCCCAAGGCCATCCAGCAGCTGCATGTGGAGTGGGGAATCAAACCTGGTTCTCCCAGATCAGAATCCGTGCACTTAACCACTACACCAAACTGGCTCTCTGCTGCCAGTCTTAGTAGGCAATAGAATCATAGAGTTGGAAGGGATCTCTGGGGTCATCTAGTCCAACCCCCTGCACACTGCAGGACATTCAGAAATACCCACACACCTGCAGTGACCACTGTCCCACACCCAGAAGATGACAAAAACCCTCCAGGAGCTCCAGCCAAACTGGCCTGGAGGACAATGGCTTCCTGACCCCAGATGCTGACGACCTTCATGGACCAACGGTCTGATTCAGAGCTTTTGCTTGAAATGCTGAAGAGCTGCTCTTAGAGTTATACATATCCTGGCTCGGTGGCATTTTGTGGTTGGCTCCGCCTGGGGTTGCCAGCTGTGGGTGAAGAGGTTTGGGGGCAGACCCTGTGGGGAGGGCAGAGGCCTCAGCAGGACACAATGCCTCCTCGTCCGCCCACCCTCCCAAGCACCCGTTTTCTCCAGGGGATCCAATCTGTGTCAGTTGTCATTCCAGAAGATTGCCAGGCCCACCTGGAGGCTGGCAACCCTAGCTCCCCTCCAGTGGCAGCTGTGTTGCGGCTGTGCCCACGGCCCCATGTCAGGACTCCAAAGGTGCCCTCGGGCCCCCAAAAGGTTGGGGACCCCTGAAGTGATGTAACAGAGGCAGTGACTCTCACTGAGTTCAACAGCCTAGGATTGGGGAGGGAGGGGAAACTGAGGTTTGCCAGTTTGCTGTAGTGGCTAAGTGCGCAGACTCTAATCTGGGAGAACCAGGTTTGATTCCCCACTCCTCCACATGCAGCCAGCTGGATGACCTTGGGCAAGCCGTAGTTCTGTCGGAGCTGTCCTTGAAAAAAGGGTAGTTCCTGTCAGAGCTCTCTCAGCCCCACCTACCTCCCAGGGTGTCTGTCGTGGGGAGGGGAAGGGAGAAGAGTTTGTAAGCTGCTCTGAGACGCTGAATGAAGGGCGGGGTATAAATCCAGTCGCTCCTCCCCTCCTCTGGTTGCCAACCTCCAGGTGAGGCCTTGATATCTCTCGGAATTACAACTAATCTCCAGATGAAAGAGGTCAGTTCCTCTGGGGGAAATGGTTGCTTGGGATGGTGGACTGTGCGGCATTATGCCCCACTAAGTCCCCTCCCCTTCCCAAGTCCCACCCCCAAACCTCCAGGCATTTTCCAGCCTGGAGTTGCCAACCCAACGTGTTGGAAATGCTGACTCTTCTTCTGCCTCCTTGCAGCTCTCACCCTGGAACGAGTCCACGAGTGGCTGGAGTTTGTGGCCCTCTGGCTGCCCACCGGCAGCGGATTCCTCAACTGCTTTGTCTACTTCTGGGTCAACCGGAGCTTCCGGCACAAGTTCCAAATGCTCGGCCGCCGGCTGTGCTGTGGAGCCCCGCGGGAGTGGCCTGGCCTCGCCCTCCCGACTGTCAGTGCCGGGGTGCAGAGGGGGGGCTGTGGTAAGGTGGGCCTCCCCCCAGACAGCTCCCCCAACGGCTCCTCCATCAACAGCCTCTCCCTCTCCCAGGAAGCCCAGGCCGCCCTGTGAGATGAGCGAGGCTCTCCGCTGGGGGTGGTTCCGGAACAAGCGCTGCAGCAAAGCAACCTGACGTGTGGCCCTGCAGACTGAAGGGGGGGGGATGCACTCCTTGTTCCGTCTGGGGAGATGGAGGCACCTGGGCCATGCGGCAGCCCCGAAGGCCTGCTGGGAATGGAAGCCTCCTTTGCTGACAAGCAGGTCGGGTTCCACCCACTGGTGATATCTAGCTTTGGTGGGCCCAGAGCAGAGAACAGGGCCCAGCCTTCCCCTGCCTCGACGGCGCCTTCTTTGCAGCCACTTCTCTGACAGGGAGCTGAGAGGTGGTCACCCCTGGCTCGGCTGGGCATTCTGCGGCACCGGAGCGGCTGAGGACTGCCTGGAAACCTACAGGGAGCAGAATCCTTGCCAGCGGAAGGGGCCACGGAGAGCGTGACTGGAGGAGCGCTGCTCTCTCAGCTGCTTGGTGCAGAGCGCCATACATCTCAACATCTAGCAACCTCTCTTCCCACCGGACCACGGAGAGACAACTTAAACGCACAGACAGAAGAGGGAAAGTCTTCTTTTTTTTTAGGGAAAAAAAATACAAAAACAGTTTTCAGCCCGGAAAGATCATGACCTGTATTGTAACACGGCTGAGTTTTTAATGTCCTTATTGGCCAGCCTCTGCCATCGACCGGGGGTTTTAAGAGCAGGGTTTTAGCTGATCGTTTCCCCCTCTGTCCCTTTGGCTGTGATGGATAAAGGAACCCAGGGAGGGGGAGGGAGGGAGGGAGGGAGGGAGGGAGGGAGTCTGGCTGGGGAACAGTAGCAACAGTGCCGCACAGCTGATCTTCGGGTGCAAATCCGTGGCACACTCCCCTTCTTGGGGAATCTGAAAGTCAGACCAGGGTGTCCTGAGTCCCCCAGGGAGGCACCATGAGACCTGTGTGAGGCAGCCAAGCCCACCGACCGTCAGAAGAAAGGGAGTCCCTGAGCAACCCGGCCTTCTCTCCCAGGAGCCCGGGGTTTCCACGACCACCAGCCCTTCTTTAACTGAATGCACATTCCTCTCCCTTGCCTTGATTTTTATATAGGAGACCTTTTAATGACTTGGAGGAGGAGAGGATGTGGTGGGGGTGGGTGGAGCTTCATTTCCACCCCAGACTGGAGACTGGGGGTTTTTTGGCACGGAGAGAAGCATTCCACTGTGGGCTGAGACCAAGCCTGGGGTGAATGTGGGGGAAGGGGGGGGGGCGCGACGGTGTTT